AGGCAATCATCAGGCAACTGCCAAATTTAACGGTTACAATCAAAGATATAGGTAAAACAGAACAGTAAATACTAGGCGTGGCGCGTGGCGGGTCGCTCGTCGTGCTGTTTACAATTTGTAAACCTGTAATGACTACCCCGGAAAATAGAAATGAACTAAGGGAAAGTTCATTTAATATGACAAGGGGGTTGGGAAGATATTGAAACTCGAAGCTTGAAATTTTGGCAGCCCCCTCGCTAGCGGTTCAATTTTTTAGAGCCCCCTCCTTGGTAGTCGAAAAATTTCAGAGCCCCCCCTCCTCCTTCAATTCCTTTGCTCTAAAAAAAAAAAAAAAAAAAGATCGCTAGACTGTATTAAATATATTTACCGTTATTGTCTTCAATGGTTTATACTATGACAAACTTGAGATACAGTTGTGGTACAATTTTCTAAAGCATTTTTAGGATGAACAAGAGTGTAATAATTACTGAGACTACATTTGTTATATCTGTAAACCACGTGATATAGCTGAGTTGCACAGGTCATTAGATTGTTGAGTTGAAAACCATCCGATCTGTATGATGATGTCATGTGTTGGTTTTGAAGTATACAAATTTTCGGAACCCCCCCTCCTAGCGCAACAGTTCTTTCAGAGCCCCCCCTTCGGGCGTCTAAAATTTTCGGAGCCCCCCCTCAATATCTTCATCCCCCCCTTGTCATATTAAATGAACTTTCCCTAATCTCAGGTTGCAGACACGCAAAGAAATTTCTACTAAACACTGTCCTAACTTGGTTAGTTCTTGTCGCAAATTTGACATGTTGTAAGCATCACTTAAGTACGACGCGCCACGCACCTACGCCACGCACCTACGCCACGCCTGTCATTTATTGTTTTATTTTACCTGATGATTCGCCTCGCAAGAGACATGACTCTCTGAGTAACAATAAATGTTCAAGATTTAATCCATTCCCATCAGTCTATTTCTATTATATACATACATATATAAAGCTTTATCGAGAAGCTAAAATTAATGCAGCCCCCACCCCCGTCAATAATCGAACGGTCCACGCCCAAGAACACGTAAAGTGCCACATTACTTGTAATTAAATTGATTCATTACCAGAAAAAATCCCTAGCCCCTATTATATGCCAGGGGCACCCAACGACAGTGTCCTCCTAAATGCATTGAGAACACTTTTTAGGCTCTCCAGAGTACTTTTAGATCTCTAGAAATGTATTCCAAGTGGCGCTAAAAAAAGTTTTATCTGTGGGGTCATACTAGGGTAACCGTGAGTCTTTTTTCCCGAAAATTTTAGCTGCAATTGAAAGTTTTACGAAAGTGAGGATTTTTCTGTTTCCTTTCTGTATCGCATTTTCGGTTCCGAGAATTTTAGGTTTCCTTTCTCTACGAAAAATAGCTTAACCTGGGGTGTGAAATAGGAAATTAAACTTCAGAAAATCGTAGGGAATTTATTAGATTAGCTTCGAATATTGCTCATGCATGGAACGGTCCTCTAATAAATTTTTAGTCTTCCTCAAGCTATAGAAAATTCTAGGCAATTTTGCTTCTCCGAACAGATATTTCACAGAAAACAGTCGTTGGGTGCCGCTGATATGCATTTGGTGACCTTTCTACGTTACTTATTTCTTATTGCCAAAAAGTAAAGTGTCACAATAATGATCTAGTTAACTCATATCTATAAGAAAAAATTATATTAAAGAAAAAAAAACTCTCCTGCGGACAACTTTTATCTTTCTGGGGCCCAGTTGTTCAATAAGTGGATAGCGCTATCCATCGTGTAAATCACTGTTCACTGGATAGAGCAATTGGCTTCCCTAGTACTTATCAGTTTGATTGAGATTCATCCGATGGATAGCCCTACCCAACTTTTGAACAACTGGGGCTTGCTCTTTTACTAGTATTTTAAATAAAGTACTGAACAAAAAAGCAGGTCACATACTTTCAAGGGTTGATGTCAAGTTATAAGTTACTTGAGATTTATCGTCTTATACAAGCATACAACATACCTTTAAATTTAAACTTTCAAACTGTATACAAAAATCCTGAGAAAACACTTCCAAGAGCTCGGCCTAGAAACAACAGGAATTTTCTAGGCAACTCGGCCCACCCCAATGCAATGGGGCAATTTGCCAGTCCCTGCTACGATGGCCATTTACGGGGTGGTGCGGTAGTAACTGCATTCTTTCACCATGTCTGTGATTGTATTTATTAGAAAAGCATTTGTATCTTAAGATTTGAACGACAGTTGAAAATATTCGCAGATGTTTTCACATTGAATTTTGAGAGTACTTCTTGGTTGGTCTGCTCGCTGATATCATGGCCATCGTACCTGATGGGATGTATTACGCCCCGGGGGGGTACTTTAGGAATTTCTGGTTGGGGTGTGCCGCTGGGAGCCTGGAACCCTTAACCTTTACCAGAGCTATTTCAGCTGAATTTTGCTACCCTATACTAGAGTAAACTCCCCAAATCCCCGCTATCATAGAGTAGCTGTGTACCTAGTCTAGATAAAATCTTCAACCAACTGATCAGTTTCCTGAAAAATGATACCCTATTCTAGAGCCAAACGCTCTGATTTATATACCCTATCTTAGAGTAAACTGCTTGAAAACCATACCCTTCACAGCGGCACATACCTATATAGCCCATATATGGCAGTACCCCCGGTATTACGCCCATCTTGTTGTTGAAAATATCTTTGACCTCCTTGTCTCTACGTTCATCAATAAGAAACGCAATTTCTTCTTGCAAGAGCACTGACAGCAGATCTCCTTCGTCACAAATTTCAACATTCTCGGCTTTGGTCAGCCCTTTTTTTCCCTGCTGATTGCAGACAGTCTGGAAAAGAATGATTGAACTTGTCCCTTTGTAAGCCATTCGTCTCTGGAACGTTCTTGAACTACCTGTGTTTCTGGTCGTTCTCATGTCCGTTGCGACCTCAGAAAGATCTGGTTTCCTGCCTGTTTGTGTATCAACATCAAATCGTGCGGTGAGGTACGTAAGACTTGACTTTCTTGCTAAACCTTGTCCCGCCTCCCCTAAACTTCTGCAGCCGCCCATCCGCTAGCCTCGAATTTGCAGACACCACTAGGAGATTTTGGAAGTTTCTCGGCTGGCGACAATTTTTACAGTCTGACCCCGACACTCTGTCACTTTTCACCGGCACAAGTCTGTTTTCCCTTATGGTCTGGATATCGGCATTGTGTGCGGCCAGTTGGATTATCGGACATACAAAGATTTTTTCACCTTGTTGGGCAGTTTTACCAAAATACGCAGCCCGCTGCAAAGTAAGTTCGTTCTCTGTAATATTTTCTTTCGTTTAAGTGACATCGCCTCGAATGAGCCGTAATAACGCTCACCTGTTACATTGACCAAGAGACACCAACTTGGTTGCTCCTTTAAACTCTCCAAATCCGCTTTCATTGCGTGACAACAATCCTAATTAGCATATGACCATGAAGAAAACCCAAAACGAAATTGAGCTGAATTCAGTCTTTATTAAAGAGCCTTTTAGTAGCTGAGACTCCAAACTCAAAAAGGGCTTCGTTTGAGCAGAAGTGAATTGTATTCTTTACGATTTTGCTGAAATCGACAACCCGCTGAAAATGAGCTTTTAAATTTGCATAATATACGAGTGGATGAAGAATTCCTTCATGTATTTTATGACATTTTATGCCGGTTTACAGACCTAAGATGGCTTGCAAAACAACAAATGTGCGTTATTTTGACGAAGCAAACCAAGATTCTGCCCCGTGGAAAAAATATCACCCTTATCATATGAGTTTAAGTGCAGGCGCCAGACGTGCAATTTTAGGTAAATATTGACAAAAGGAGCTCTCAAAAACGCTTGTTCGCGTCCGATGCAGAATGATACCCGCACCTTTGACTTTATTTTCTAACAGAATAAAATAAGATCTTTGCTGTGAAGTGCATTTTGCCTGTGATTTTTGTACCGCTTTGGAGATTTTAGCTTTTACTTTGGAGGAATTTGTCAAGGGATAAAAAAAACCGCAAAGTGGCTCGTCTCTGATCTCATTAATTTAATTTAATTTTGCGTCAAATTATCCAAGATTCCGTCATAGGACACGTCAAATGCAGCTAAATCCATTGTACTATGTAGAATTTACCGATATTTATCCGTTACGAAGAAGCGCGGCTTTTAAAATTACTGAATTTTGGCCATTAAATAAAGTTGAAAAAGCGCTCTCAGACAGGAAAGAAGTTTTGTGCTGTAACGAAGCACAGAAAAGGATTTTGAAAAAAATTAGCTCGATTTTAATCATTCCTCATTAAGTCCTTTTCACCCACAAAAAATAAAGGGAAGGTTTACTTGCGATCCCAAACTCGCCGGACCGCTCTTAGGTGGACAGCCACTTAATTTCCGTTTCGCTGACACAGCTTTAGCAGAAATCTCTCTTTAGTCGTTTTCGTCAACAAAATGAATAGCAATATTGCTCTCCGCGTCTTCCGCCATTTTTTTCTGCTTCAATTCGTGAAGGACGCGTGGCTCTGAGCGTGGGTCATCCACGCGGAACACATTCGCGCTATGTGATTGGCTGTTGTCTAATCCCCCGTGGGATCTGTGGTCTTAAAAATAACTCGAGATGAATTACCTATGGAATAGGGTGTGTATGGAGGATGCCTTCTCTGTCCCCTTTATCCTCTCTTGATTTTGAGCTTTGCTTAAACTGCTTAATTTGACGCCCGTAAGATTATGGTTATTTATTATTAGTTGGCCATATCATATTCTACTTTATAATGTGTAGGGCTATATATACCGCCTTATACGTGGCAGAGGCCATTTATTTAGTTGCAATGAGTTATTGAAGCAAAGTTCGAGACATCTTGTATTGTATTCTAAGTAGGCACTGTAACGAGCTACCTGAATAATAATAGAATTTCATGTAAAAGCTTCAAGATAATCACTTTCCTTTCTAGTCTTGCCAAACCAGGTCCGTGAGAGTTGGCTCACTCAACAAACAAGTTTGCATAAACACACTAAGTTGTTGTCTGGTAGAACACTTCAACATCAGTGGGAGTGAAGTAGATACCGGATCCACCTGCATAAAATCTACAGGAAGAGTAATATGCAGAGTACCCATGGGGGAGGGGGTAGGTGTGGCCACAGAAGGTGTGAGAATTGCTGTTGCTTGTAGCGTTGCTGGATATGCCCAGGTCGTGTCCGTAACCAAAGGATGGTCCCCTATCAGAACATGTGTAAATAGCTTTACTGTAATGACTTGACTTGATGTTCACCTTAACAGAAGCGTAGCCATTGATGTTATATAACGAGAACAGGAACTATTCGCTGGATGAGACATAGTGACAAGAACCTGTGGAAAACACATGTAAAATTTAGATTGCAGATACGTTCATAAAAATATTGGTCAAAGGTTTCACCAACTAAGGACCAAAGAAAAATAATCACAATGCCCTCAGGTAGGTGAAAGCTAAAATATGAACGCTATAATATGTAAGACAAAGAGACACAACACAATATCAGTTTTCATTTTGCAGTAGCTACAAATAGATTCTTAATCTGTTTTTTTACCACCAATATGAACAATCAGACTTAATGAAGTCAAACTGGCCTCCTACTGGCTTAATAGCCAATTTAACACACGGGAAATATTGCATATAATTATTGTTGCGGGTCTTCTTTTTTCTGCTCACTTGTCTTGGCGCTAGTACTGTAAACTCATTTATCAGTTCATTTGTCAAAACAACTGCTTAACTCTTTGACGTCCGCCTTGGTTGCTTTTGGTCCATACGGACCCTTGCATATTATCCTTCTATTTAAGCTACTAAGATGGCAATTAGCAAAATAAGCAAGGGTAGATCTTTCCACTGGTACCTCATTTAGCAAATTTTTACCAATCCTGACAGAGCTACAGACAAAAAAGAGCACTATTTGGCGAAAAAAATCCACTATCAATTTTGCTATTTTCCTACTACTCATTGCACATTAAATTTTCCCTTTCTTGGAAAGAAAGACGATAAGATGGGCAACAAAACTGGCTATAAAAGAAAGGTAACTGGAACAAGAAGAGAGCGAGAAAAAAGGTAGAAGTAGATTCGCCATGCTCGAAAAACATAAAAGCTGCTTAATTAGCACCAATTAGCAAAAGGTTATGTTCTTATTAGTGTTGGAAATCTCTTTTAAAGCCACTTCTTTGCTAACTCACCGGCCGAAAAACTGTTCATAAAAAAGGCTTGGTGAAAAATGCGGTTTTCCCTAATAATTGGCTGACGGCAAAGGGTTAAAAAAAAGTGGAAGAATTGTTCAATCCCAGTGGCGGATCCAGACCTTTAGATAAGGGGGGGGGGGCGGTCATTCAGATCCTGAGATAAGGGGGGGGCGGTCTCAAAAAAAAATTTCTTTCGTCCTTTCGGGCCTCAGTTTGGTCTATAAATAAGGGGGAGACCCGGGGCCCCAGAGCCCATCCCCTGGATCTGCCACTGAATTCTTTTCTTTTCTGGTCACTTTATCATTCGCCGTTCCCTGTCTATTTGAGTCCGTGGGTTATCACGCCGGTAAATCCAAAGAAAGTGCCGTCTATTGCTTAAACTGGGTTTCAACAATTGAATCTAAGCTTGAGATAGATAACACATATTTTTTTTAAGATATACCTATACTAAGTTATCTGGAAGATCAAGTTAGTGTTGAATTAATTAATTTATTTATTTATTAAAAAGAAGATACTGAAACATTTCTGAAATTTTCAATATATCCAGCCAATATATTAGGTTGACGACGTTATATAACAATACTTGCAATGGGACCCTTGCCACCACACATCCACGTAATCAGTGCAAATAAAGGTATACAAAAGAAAATGTGCATCCTATGCTACAATCTGTGTGCAATTAAGTCTGTCATGAAATCAGACACTCACCACCCCAAGACTTGTCAGTATATCCACCAAATACGTAACTACCAACTTGGACGATGGTTACAGTGGGACCCTATCCATCACAGTTACTGTGGAATGTTGATGCCGCCCAACCATTTGTCTTAGCGTGCCAACACCTCACAAACCTGCTGCGACCTGGACTCTGAAGGACTGGGTCTAAATATGAATTCAACTGGTCAGAGTACTTGCTGCCATGGCTGTCAAGAATGCTGGATGAGCTGAGAGCATCTAAAGAAGGGTGAAAGTATTTTAACTTTTTAGCAATCAAGCGCTATACACAAAAAGTTTTCAATCAAATTTCTATGTCGCAGCATGTAGGTAGATAAAATCGGGAATACCATGGCATTGCTGTGAACCGACCATTCAAAAAAGCAATATCATCTGTTCATTAAACTCTTTCTTGTGTATTTCAAATTTTTTCCATTTTCAAAATTTAGCTAGGGCCCGACTTCTTTTATTTGCATTTTTACGTGTTAGGTTTAGTTTTCCCGCCTTTCTTAACCTATCGTTTTGAAATTATTGACATTTTTTTTGTAAAAATGCGGTTTAAAACATATGCCGATATCTCAAACGTTTTTACACCCACAAAAGAATAAATAACATTTTTTTAAAGTTATGAAGGATGCCAAAAATCATGGAAATCGGTGAAATCATTCCTGCCGAAAACCCGATTCAAAAACACAACTAGCCTGCGAACGGCAGACGTTTCTCCTCGCTCATCGCCGCTGAGGAACGTTTCGCGAGGAGGAACTCCTAGTCAAACGTCCCTCAGCGGCGATGAGCGAGGAGAAACGTCTGCCGTTCGCAGGCTAAAACATAACCAACGCGCACATAAATAGGTTCGGGCCACCTTTTTAAAAAACGAGTCCCTTATAATATCATATAATACAGGAGCCTATAGTCAGGGGATCCTGTATGATATCATTCACTTTTATTTATTCTTAATCCTTTCTGCGGCAGGTAGTTAAACGAATTATTGCCGCTTCGATTAGATTTTCCTTTATTCTAAAATCTCTCACCTTAATCCTAATATAATTTTCTGTTTATGTTATTTTTGTTGTTGTTTGACGATTTTTAGTATATCTACTGTGTTTCTAGGATTTTGACATAAACTTGGGGTAATTAAACTGTCTTTATATGGTTTGGTTTCTTCTTTTTGAATATTTAATAATAGTCTAATATACTCAATTTCAAAGTGTATCCAAGTTGAAATACCTTTCTGAACCTCAGTATAAGTTACAGCTTCCGCCTTTAACACCCCTGCACTTGTTGCGACACAGATGTAATTTCCTTTATCGTTCATTGTTATGTCTCTAATCACTAGCGAGCCATTAATCTGCTGGCTCCGCCCAACTGGCAGTTGACCTCCTTGTTTCTTCCACCTGATGACTGGTTTTGGATCCCCAGAAACTCTACAGTTTATCCTCAAAGTTCCTCTTAACAACACAATAACTTTTGCAGGTGGCTTAACAATAAAACGAGGAAGCGACCCAACAACTAAGAGAGTTTTCTTTTCAACGCGTCCTAACAGGTTTGATGCTGAACAGAAGTAAACGTCAGAGTCATCTTTACGAACATGTAGAATTTGCAATGCACTGTTATTGTACTTCATCCTTCCCTGGGGTAATTGACGGGATGACTTTCTCCATGAGACCACTAGTGTTGGGTACCCAGTCACGTGACAAATAGGAAGGGTGTAATTGTTTCCTTTGATGGCGTAATGAGGTCCCGGATGGAGAGAAACGCGCGGATGAACTGCGAGGAAAAATGCTTTGGTGAAATTTGAAAACAACAATCAGCATCACATCACGAGAGATGATAAAAATTAATATTGTCATTGATCTTTATTATGGTGGGCCATGTTTCGCAATTTGTCCGTTATTCAGATTTTTTCCTAAAGGAAAGGTTTTCAAAAAGCCCGGCCATGGAGGCTATATTTACCATTAATCGATACTCGTCTCAAGACAAAATGTTCCTACTTCAATAATAAAAGTGATAAAATGCTCTTTGGCTGATCATCAAAGAGGAAATATCAACCACCAGTTTTTTTCTTGCATCCCCAAAATAAGATGCCAATTTACTTTGTAACGCCAAATAACCGGTGGTCAATATCAACAATGAAATCGTTCTTTCAAAGAATAAATACAGTAGAACCTCAAAAACTCGAACTCAGCTAACTCGAATTCCCGCTAACTCGAACTAAATTTCGTTTCCCTTCAGAATTCAAGTTACCGGGGTTCTACTGTAGATTACACTGTCATTACTTAAAAGTGTCTGAGGTCTCTTTTGATTAACTATTTATAAATGCTTTTGCAAAATATCTGAATTATTTATTAATGCCTAAGATGACTTAGCATTCCACCAATCGAATCAACTGAGTCACAACAAACTTACCATTTACCACAAGTTGTACAAGTGCATGCGTCTTCCCTAATATGTTGACCGCTGAACAGTTGTATTTTCCTGCGTCATTTCCTGCCACGTTTTCTAACACCAGCTTTCCTCCTGATACCGTTGAAGGACTTATTTGTGACTGACCGTTTAGTTTACTCCATTTTATTGCAGATTTAGGATTACCACTCACTGAACACTGAAACGAAGCTGATCCACCTTCGTTAACTGTCAATGTTTTAGGGGACTAGGCAACGACAGGAGCTGAAATCGATTCACCAGGTTCTCCTTTAGCTCCCGGCAAGCCTGCAGGTCCCATGTCTCCTTTTTGTCCCTTGAGTCCAACATTGCCCTTAGGACCTAATGGTCCCATAATACCTTGCTTGCTGCTCTTTCCAGGCAATCCCATAATACCTTGGTCTCCTTTCTGTCCTCTTTTGCCCCGGGACCCTTTCTTTCCCCTCGGACCTTCTGGCCCGGGAGGGCCTAGGAGACACGAGCTACTTTGCGATAATGAGTGGTGCGGTCTTAACTCTGACAAAATTTTAAGCACTGTTGCTTCCACGTTTTTAATTTCAGTCTTGTTCTTAACAGTATCGGCATTGCGCCTTTTCCTTTGACGCTTATTGGAATGAGGATCTGAAAAATGTGACATTAATCTGTCACGTCATTGTCATTAAAACAAGAACGTCGAGCACCAAACTATTTACAGCCGTGTGTCCTCGCTCCTTGCCTTTAGGTGACGTCTGCGACTCAGCGACAGAAATTCCATACTGATGACGTAAACTCTGTCCGGAATCTGGTCGACGTAGTAGTTAAGTGGTTTTTGCTTTGTTTATGAATGACAAAAAAAGACAAAAGGCCACATAGGGGAAACGTAAACGGGATGAATCTACTTAAAAACGGTCAAGATTTGTGAAATATATTCTTTTTTAGAAGAAACATCGACGCTCGTTCACAGGAAAACACAAAACTTTACCATAATCGACCAGGAGAAACACAAATTTTCAATTGGAGCTCCATGACCACCAGATTTGTTAGGTAAGCATTAATTTGTGTCATCAGTATGGAATTTCTGTCGCTATTGTGCAGACGTTCCTTGGGGCCAGGAGTGAGGAGAGACGGCTGTATTTGCTAACTAATAAGTTACAAGCTTTTAAGCCTTTCATCGCCGCTGAGGAACGTTTCGCGAGGAGGAACTCCTAGTCAAACGTCCCTCAGCGGCGATGAGCGAGGAGAAACGTCTGCCGTTCGCAGGCTAAAACATAACCAACGCGCACATAAATAGGTTCGGGCCACCTTTTTAAAAAACGAGTCCCTTATAATATCATATAATACAGGAGCCTATAGTCAGGGGATCCTGTATGATATCATTCACTTTTATTTATTCTTAATCCTTTCTGCGGCAGGTAGTTAAACGAATTATTGCCGCTTCGATTAGATTTTCCTTTATTCTAAAATCTCTCACCTTAATCCTAATATAATTTTCTGTTTATGTTATTTTTTTTGTTGTTGTTTGACGATTTTTAGTATATCTACTGTGTTTCTAGGATTTTGACATAAACTTGGGGTAATTAAACTGTCTTTATATGGTTTGGTTTCTTCTTTTTGAATATTTAATAATAGTCTAATATACTCAATTTCAAAGTGTATCCAAGTTGAAATACCTTTCTGAACCTCAGTATAAGTTACAGCTTCCGCCTTTAACACCCCTGCACTTGTTGCGACACAGATGTAATTTCCTTTATCGTTCATTGTTATGTCTCTAATCACTAGCGAGCCATTAATCTGCTGGCTCCGCCCAACTGGCAGTTGACCTCCTTGTTTCTTCCACCTGATGACTGGTTTTGGATCCCCAGAAACTCTACAGTTTATCCTCAAAGTTCCTCTTAACAACACAATAACTTTTGCAGGTGGCTTAACAATAAAACGAGGAAGCGACCCAACAACTAAGAGAGTTTTCTTTTCAACGCGTCCTAACAGGTTTGATGCTGAACAGAAGTAAACGTCAGAGTCATCTTTACGAACATGTAGAATTTGCAATGCACTGTTATTGTACTTCATCCTTCCCTGGGGTAATTGACGGGATGACTTTCTCCATGAGACCACTAGTGTTGGGTACCCAGTCACGTGACAAATAGGAAGGGTGTAATTGTTTCCTTTGATGGCGTAATGAGGTCCCGGATGGAGAGAAACGCGCGGATGAACTGCGAGGAAAAATGCTTTGGTGAAATTTGAAAACAACAATCAGCATCACATCACGAGAGATGATAAAAAATTAATATTGTCATTGATCTTTATTATGGTGGGCCATGTTTCGCAATTTGTCCGTTATTCAGATTTTTTCCTAAAGGAAAGGTTTCCAAAAAAGCCCGGCCATGGAGGCTATATTTACCATTAATCGATACTCGTCTCAAGACAAAATGTTCCTACTTCAATAATAAAAGTGATAAAATGCTCTTTGGCTGATCATCAAAGAGGAAATATCAACCACCAGTTTTTTTCTTGCATCCCCAAAATAAGATGCCAATTTACTTTGTAACGCCAAATAACCGGTGGTCAATATCAACAATGAAATCGTTCTTTCAAAGAATAAATACAGTAGAACCTCAAAAACTCGAACTCAGCTAACTCGAATTCCCGCTAACTCGAACTAAATTTCGTTTCCCTTCAGAATTCAAGTTACCGGGGTTCTACTGTAGATTACACTGTCATTACTTAAAAGTGTCTGAGGTCTCTTTTGATTAACTATTTATAAATGCTTTTGCAAAATATCTGAATTATTTATTAATGCCTAAGATGACTTAGCATTCCACCAATCGAATCAACTGAGTCACAACAAACTTACCATTTACCACAAGTTGTACAAGTGCATGCGTCTTCCCTAATATGTTGACCGCTGAACAGTTGTATTTTCCTGCGTCATTTCCTGCCACGTTTTCTAACACCAGCTTTCCTCCTGATACCGTTGAAGGACTTATTTGTGACTGACCGTTTAGTTTACTCCATTTTATTGCAGATTTAGGATTACCACTCACTGAACACTGAAACGAAGCTGATCCACCTTCGTTAACTGTCAATGTTTTAGGGGACTAGGCAACGACAGGAGCTGAAATCGATTCACCAGGTTCTCCTTTAGCTCCCGGCAAGCCTGCAGGTCCCATGTCTCCTTTTTGTCCCTTGAGTCCAACATTGCCCTTAGGACCTAATGGTCCCATAATACCTTGCTTGCTGCTCTTTCCAGGCAATCCCATAATACCTTGGTCTCCTTTCTGTCCTCTTTTGCCCCGGGACCCTTTCTTTCCCCTCGGACCTTCTGGCCCGGGAGGGCCTAGGAGACACGAGCTACTTTGCGATAATGAGTGGTGCGGTCTTAACTCTGACAAAATTTTAAGCACTGTTGCTTCCACGTTTTTAATTTCAGTCTTGTTCTTAACAGTATCGGCATTGCGCCTTTTCCTTTGACGCTTATTGGAATGAGGATCTGAAAAATGTGACATTAATCTGTCACGTCATTGTCATTAAAACAAGAACGTCGAGCACCAAACTATTTACAGCCGTGTGTCCTCGCTCCTTGCCTTTAGGTGACGTCTGCGACTCAGCGACAGAAATTCCATACTGATGACGTAAACTCTGTCCGGAATCTGGTCGACGTAGTAGTTAAGTGGTTTTTGCTTTGTTTATGAATGACAAAAAAAGACAAAAGGCCACATAGGGGAAACGTAAACGGGATGAATCTACTTAAAAACGGTCAAGATTTGTGAAATATATTCTTTTTTAGAAGAAACATCGACGCTCGTTCACAGGAAAACACAAAACTTTACCATAATCGACCAGGAGAAACACAAATTTTCAATTGGAGCTCCATGACCACCAGATTTGTTAGGTAAGCATTAATTTGTGTCATCAGTATGGAATTTCTGTCGCTATTGTGCAGACGTTCCTTGGGGCCAGGAGTGAGGAGAGACGGCTGTATTTGCTAACTAATAAGTTACAAGCTTTTTAGCTTAAGGCAAATGCCTTATACCATAATTATTTATAGCTGTATCGCTGCATTTTTCCCAAATTCTTGTGCATTACCTTCCCTAATTCCTCTAACACTTAAATATTAAAGAAGCAGTGATTGATTATCTTACAGTTGGTTATTGGGCCATTGTATACCCCTTAATAGTCTAACGAAGCTTAATGATCATCAATAAAAGTTTTGTTCACCATTCTGTTGTACGCTGAGTCTTTTAGCTGAGGTTGATACGTGGGAGTGATGAGAAAGGAATTTTGAGCAAGCGTTGATAAGCGTACCCTGGTCAGTTCAGTTAAAATCTTTCTATGAAAATTTTCCGCAAAACAGGCAAGACTCGCACTGTCTTACGCCTGCGATACTAAGAGCGATTGAAAAGATATCAGTACAGGATATTTTCCGTTCAGACTCGAATGTTCCTCGACGCGGTCTGCTGTTTTTTTTTTTCATGCTTTTCTCCAAGCGCTATTTTTCACAAGCTTAAAATTGGTTAACTTTATTTTTTTTTTCTTAATTCAAAATGTAACACGATAATTACTGTCGTTCTGGGCATTTCAGAATTATATGATCCGAATTCCAATATTTCGGAGCGCCGAGGAGTTGTTAATCAGTAAAAATAACAATGTAAAAGTTTTCTTGAGCTTTTTTCGCAATGAAAAGAATTCTGTTCAGTCTTATCACTACAACAATATTCTGTCTATAAAATAGAGAGGGGCAAAAAAGACCATTGAAGCTTTCATGATAATAGCGAGTTTCAGTCTACCCTAAAAAGAGCTAGAGAGGGAAATTAAGAGAAATAAATAGCCTTATCTGGAAAAGCTTTTTTTTCAATTTGCGTCAAAGCAGTAATTAAAAATATTTTTCACCAGCTTCGCTGTAATTTTAATGTATCGTAAAACATACAGTATTCAGTATTTATTTGGAAGGTTGATCAAAATCAAACGAATTTCTGTTTTTTTTGTTTTTGTTTTTTGTTTATTTTTTTCATTTTTTGGTTTTGTTTAGAGACAGGATCTAAGCTGTATTACAAAATAAGCAGAAGCAACATTCTGTGTAATTTGCCTCAAGCTGTAATTTAAATGTATCGTAAAACATAAAGGGCCAGTTATTTAAACGGCGTTTAGCCAATGTTTAACAAAACCGAGTCCTAAGCCATTTTCAGTTTGCCGAACACTTTATGTAAACATCATTTATTGTGAACAGTGTCATGAAAGCATATGGCGTAGACTAGAAAAGCATTTGTCCTCTTAGAGTAACCCAAGGAAGAAGAGATCTGGAGGTCCAAAGATTTCCCAAACCGCGGTGTAACTTAGATTTCGTTTAAATAACCGACCCACAGTATTTGATTTTATGTCCACTGAATAACAGTGCCCCTGATAATTAGGAAGGTCGATCAATAAGCCAGAAGCGCACGATTTAACATTCCAAGACTTCCCGGTCTTAAAAGAGGAGATTTTTTAATACAATGATATTGACGATATTCATTTAGTATAATACTTAAAAAACGATTTTTTTTCTCACGTTTTGATTTCGTTTAGAGAGAGGATCTAAGATGTATTACAAAATAAGCAGAAGTAACATTCTGTGCAATTTGCCGCTAGGGAAGCGCCAGGTTGGCATACAGACTACAAGCCACATTGTGGGTCTTTTGGATAGATCTCTGTGGAATTAACAGATTTAAATGTAGGATTGAAGACTCAAGAACAGTCAATAAACTGAACCTGTACATCAGATTTAAGCGAAATGTTTATAAAGAAGGGAAGTCGTTACGTTATGTTGCCATGGTAGCAAAATTTCTGGCTGACTATAAAGCGAAAACGTCACTTAAAAACTGAATTCGGACAGTTTCAAACTTCAAGGCGATCTTATTCAATTTTATTTAATTTAGCTTAATTTGTAAACTCTTGGCGAAATTGTCTGCGGTTAAATCCGAAAGGACCGTATCTTAGTTTAGAAAAGAAAAAGATTTCTTGTGCTGTGTTCATCAAGTCCATCAAGAGGGAGCGTGAAATTAGGAAGTTTCAAGTAGTACACTTGCAACGACGGCTGAGAAATAAAAAAAAAGTGAAATGCACGTGCAGCAGAGTTGCTGTTTTGCAAATATAAACCGATTGCTTTTTACCAGTCTCGTTGACATCGCCGTCGTTGTTGCTTAAGCTCCCCATTTTGCCATGATCGTGACGTCACACTTCTTCTCACTATTGATGGCTTGTTTAGCTCGGTATCAGATGAACATTAACGTATTTGTGGTTCGGCAGTCAGGATAAACCAGAACATAGTTATTATAGTGGAATAGTTAAGAAACCCGTTAGACTCCTTTGTTATATGTTTTTGTCAGCTTTTTTGGACCTGGGACGTGCACAACGTTTAATTGCATTCCCATCATTTTGAACTCAATGACCAATAGAAACATCGCATTAATTTATTCAGTGACAGAATTTGTGAACAAAAAACAAAGGATTGTGCAGGGTCAGACAGCTTCCAACATAAACTACAGCACCCTTGTTTTGAACTTTGATGTTTGTTGGGCCTCTTCTACTAACTATGACCAGAAGGAGAAAAAAAGCATCTTCGCGTCAAGTCATATCTTTCATGGCTGGTTCAGTCCCTTTAGCTCGGCAGTGAACGACTTACGCCAGGTTTTTAAACGACGCACTTCACATCTGCGAAACTTAATGCATGAATTTTAGTAAATTATTGTTATCTTACTGAGAATAATAACAGCGAACAGAGTTAAATACGACGTTTGAAACAAATGCCATTATGACTAGAGATACATGTGGCTTTTAAGGCTTATTTAACCGGCAGCAGTCAGTACAATAAAAGGCCAAAAGATCGTGTTTGTTTGGTAGATGGTCGCTGTGTATGTTGTTTTGAAACGTCGAGTATTTTTTTTGAGTAATTTTGTCAAAAACTTACCAGGAGTGATTTCCTCGCTCTTTGTTACGAGGTCAAGAATGTTGGTGTGTGATTTAGCCTCTTCGATGCTTTCAAGAGCGTTTACTCTCTTCTTCTGTTCGTTTAGATCCAATTCTACTCGTAGAAAACCGGCGCAGTAAAACACGATCGACAAAACAGAAAGAATTAAAGGAAACGAAGGCTTTTTCTGTTCTTTCTGAGCAGTCATTTCGTACTGAGTGCCGCTGAAGTCTGTACCCGCGAGTGTTCGGTTACTTTGCTTAAAAACACTCAGTGTTTCCGCTGTTATATCACACCAGCTTCTCAAGTATCGTGCCAGCGTTGTTCTGCTGTTTATGAAACTTCCTTGTTATGTTCTTCGATAACAAAGGATAGGTTATCGCTACTTTCGCGCGATCATTTTTCTCAAGTTTTAAAAGATTAGCTGTGGTCTTTATCGGGCGTTTCGACGGCGTCTTGTTAAAAATCACCAGATTGTCTGCAAAATGGGAACTTTTATGGGAACGATAGGCTTCTTCAAAATAATATATAAGATACTTTTCTTTATCATAATTGTAAAGTTTCGAGACAGTATGGAGTGGTGCCCAGAAAACTAATACCGAGCTAAGAATTAAGTTCCATAGAGGATAGAGCTAAGTCCCGGAAAACTAAGACCCAGGAAACTAAGACGGAAAACTAAGACCCGGAAAATTAAGATCCCTGAAAACTAGTCAGACCCGGAATTGTTAAAGCTACGAACTGGAAATCCAATACCGTGAGAAGTAAGACCGGAAAATAGGGGAAATAAAGAGCAAATAAGGGAAGTAGAAAGCTGTCTTACAAATTCTATGAAAAAAATGTGATGTCTTCAAGAGGTGTCCGGCTTATAGAGAGACAAACAATGTGACTCCAGTACAAGAAACTAAATCTGGACCTATTTGCAAATTGCCGAATGAATAAATATATGTTTTTTGTGCGCAAAATACTGAATTAAAATTGGAGCAATGTAATAGAAAAGTGGGATCATTCTCTCATGTGTAAACAATCGGCGCTCATTACAAACAAACGTTCACTGCTTAGAGGTCTAAGAGCGTCACAGTATAGAGTCTACGAATTGCAATTAGTCTGCAAAATAATAAAAAAGGCAATTTACGGTATACTTTTTTGATGTATTTTTGAGGTATTTTCACTCAATAGAACACTTCGTAAGTGTCCGTTGACGGTTTCAAAAGTGTCTGTTGTCCGTTTTAAAGGGGTGTGTGTCCTGAGAGAGTATAGATACAGAAAAATAACAAGAAAACGGCAGGAACCAACACTAGTTGTCTGCCTTATAGAGGTGTCTGTTGAGAGAGAGTTGAGTGTATGTCTCTTTTCAAAAATATAGCGGAAGGAAAGCAATTTTGACAACAATGGAAAATTAAGCACACTGATACTTCTTTACTTCCTCTTTCCTTCCCTGGAAAGTATATGCAGAGGGTCTGCCCCCTCATACATGATAATTTATAACAGATACGGTGGACATTGGCTGTGAGAGCTGCTTGCCAAGAGGTTATAACAGAAAAATTTTGAACAATTTTGAAGGATAACGAGTCGAAATCCCAATAGCCTAGGTCCAGGCTCCGCTTTGGGAGAAAAAGGAGAAAAAACCGGCGTGGGCGAAAAAAAAAATCTGCGGGCGAAGCAAGCCCATAGGTGGTCTGGGTAGGAGAAAGGGAGGGAGTGTGGAATAGTCTGACAAAGCAAAGTCAGGATGATGTCACACTTTTTGGCACTTTTCCCCCAGCCTAGAAGCCTTTGTCGTTCTTTACTTAGTTCTACACTTCTCAGAGATGAGGAGGTGTGAAATATTCTTACAAAGTCAGGATAATGTCGCACTTTTCCCCCAGCCTAGAGCCACTTTTCTTTTCTTTTTCTTTTCTAGAGCCGTTTTTCTTTATTTTGTTCCACATTTCTCAGAGGTGTGGAAGTGCGGAGTAGTCTGACAAGGTCAGGATGAAATCGCACTTTTTCCCCAGCTTCATTCTTTACTTAGTTCTACACTTCTCAGAGGTAAGAAAGTGTAGAATAAACTGACAAAGTCAGGCCAATGAAACAAATAAGCAAAAAAAATCGGGTTACGCGAGCTAGAGACAGTGTTTTTACTGTAACGGTTAAACATATTGTGGCACACGGAGCCGTCAGCGCCAGATGATATCCAGGAAAATATGGCTTATGGCAATTTTATTTCTTAAATTGTAGCAAGAAGCAGCCAACGACTATTTTCTGTAAAATATCTGTTCGGAGTAGCAAATATTGCCTAGAAACAAAATTTCCAGATGACTGTTCCATTCATGTAAAAATTTTCGTAAATTCCCTACAATTTTCTGAAGTTTAATTTTTCACATGTCATTCTCCAGGTTAGTCTGTTTTTCGTAGTAAAAAGGAAACCCAAAATTGTCGGATTCAAAAGCTCGAGGGAGCGAAGAATTAGAAAAATTCTCACTTTCGTAAAAACTAAATTCCTTTTAAAATTTTCGGGGAAGAAATACTGGAGCCCTAATGACTTCGAAGAGACTCAAGTTGCCTTAGGATGACCGAACACTTACAAATTTTATAGCGCCTTTCAGAATTCATTTCTAGATATCTAAAAGTACTCTGGATAGCCTAAAAAGTGTTTTCAATGTATTGAGGAGGAAAGCGTCGTTGGGTGCCACTGTGTCAGAACTAAGTAAAGAATGACAAGGGGTTTATGACTGAGGGAAAAGTGTGACCATCCGGACTTTTTCAGACTACTCAATACTTCCACACCTCTGAGAAGTGTAGAACTAAGTAAGAAGTGAAGAAAATCTGGGTTTCATGGCCAGGGCTGGACATGGCTCTCGTTTCGTTTGGGGAGGCAGCGTGGCCGAGTGGTCAGCGCGTCGGACTCGCAATCCGGCGGTCCCGGGTTCGAGTCCCGCTCTGGCCACTTGCTGGATTTGTGCTCGGTCGTCCCGAGTTCAAATTCTCGGCCACGCTTGTAAATAGCCAACTGCTTGCCTTCTGCCAGTTGGGGTTTTTAATCCTTTTATGTTGTATTTGAATTATTTGTTTCTAAATATTTGAGTGGAGTGCCTGTAAATTAGCTGACTAGCTAAGTGCACCTTCCACTATAAACATGCCTTTAACTTTTAACTTTAACTTTAACTTTCCTTGTGTTGCGCAAACCATTGTTGGTTCGCTTTTGTGTTGTGGTGTGGGTTTTTTTCAGTGTCTTTTCAATCTTTTGTACTACGTCATTTGATGATTGCAACCGTCCACAGCACCAGACTGCAGTTTGAAAGGTGGAAATCCTTCTGCAGGAAATTTTGGCCTGAATTTGTAGTCAGCAGTTTCAGAACTTGGCCAATTTGGTAGAAAAAAAAAAGATCAATCCGGTTCGTAATTTCGCGAGGCCCCGCTAGGGGTTCAGGTTTTAGGTTTTATTAAAGCTTAAGAATTAATTGACAAACAACTTTGGGAGTTAAAAAATCAGTGAGATATTTTATGGATAATAAAAGGGGTATATTATCAGCAAGAAAGTACAGTCAAGTAAGGAATAGGCCTCTTAATATACGCTCGATTAAAGGAGTAAAATAAGATTCAGTGAACACATGAATTTATAATCTATGTAAACGAGAGAAATTATTGGCATCCTCCCACTGATTTTAATGCCGAATTTGTAATCGGAAAAAGTAATTAAAAAATTTAAAATGCTGAGAGGCGGTTAACTAACCTTACGAATTTACCAGTTTATGGCTGACCAGTGGCAGCTTTAACTAAAAAAGAGTAAGTGGACCTCTACGCTTGGTGCTTTTTTTTTTTTTGTTTTTGTTTTTTTCAGGTTTTACACGGTATCCCCAAATTTCGAGTCAAAGCTAACATGGAAAACAAAGTTATTAAAACGATGTTAAATCGTAAAAAGGACATTGTTTCCTGAACGTCAATTTCAAACTGAGTTTCAAACTAGATAAGGCCAATTATAACCTGCGTGTAGATTAAGAGGGGTTAGCAAATTCTGAGAGAAAGGTAATAGCTATTAACTGTCCGCAAGTGAAACAGTTAAATTGTAAGTGAGGAATATTAACTTATAAACCAAAATTTTAAATAAAAGCTGCAACTTTTGTCAGTTTTTGTTTGTAGTCGGGTCCCTGAAAATTGGTCAGTAAATATTACATAGTTTTGCATAAACGCTTTACGTCTTTGTCTCGTAAAACACTTCAACATCAGTGGGAGAGAATTTGTAGGATCCCGCATAAAATCTACAGGAGAGACCAGATGAAGAGTACCCAGGGGGGAGTTGGTAGGTGTTGCCACAGTAGGTGTAGGAATTTTGTTTGCTTGCAGCGTTGTTTTAAATAAGCAGGTCGGCCCCACCACCAAAGAATGGTCCGTAACCGGAACCTGAGGCTATAGCGTAACTGTAACGACTTGACTTGATGTTCAGCTTCACAGGAACGTAGCCATTGATGTTATATGACGAGAACTGGAACGATTTACTGGATGAGACAAAGCTATAAGAACCTGTGGAAAACACAGCCATATATATGCACTTTAGACAGTGACAGATAAGTTCTTAAAAACATTATACAGGCTGTGGATTGTGTTCATAGCTATCACCGACTGAGGACCAACAAAATCTATCATATATAAGCTATGAAATTCTTTAAGTATGATTTCAAAGAACAGCAATTCCATAACAAGAAACGAGTAAAAATTATATAAAATATCAGTTTTTCATTTTACAGTTTGTTATTTTGGTAGACTGTTTGGGGCTGCGCAGTTTCCAACTAATGACGTAATGGGTGGTGAAAGCCCCTAAGGTGAAAGAGAATTTAAAATACACCACTAAGTTGTATAACTGCACTTAATGTTAACAGAATTAGCGATTGAAAAGACGTAGTGGGAACCCGAGGCTTCTCCGCATGCAGTCGCCAATATATCTTGCTTTAATAACACTTGAGAAAGAAAAAACTCGAAAAAAAATAAAAAAGCTCAAAGTGAAACCCTTTCCGTGGCAGATGCATTTGAAAAGTAGAAATGTAGACCATATACGATAAACTGTGCACCTGGGAAGATGCATCCCCTATAGCATAAACCGTGTCTAACACTCACTGTGCCGATTATAATCTTCAACTATTTAACAATTAATGAATGAGGATGGGTATCTTATGAAGAATTATGGAGATCGAGGAGGGCGGATATCACCCTCCGAGATCTCCAAAATTCTTCATATGATACGAAAGCCGAAGTCAATAATTGTTTTATTATTCATTCAAAATAATTCGTAGTCTAAAAACATGGCTAAAACATGCTTACCTCCATCGATCCATCGATGTTAAGTTCATCTACGATAGTGCACGTTTAGGTTTGTACAGCTCCGCAAATATTCTCCAAATAGCAGATGTCGCCCTTCGAGTTGTCTTCTTGCTGTTCTTGCCATGTTTTTAGCTATTTTTTCGCCTAGTTCTTAATCTTGAAACGAGTGAAATGTCCGCCATTTTTCAAGTTCACAAGCAAAACAACTCAACCTCGTCCCCAGGTCTTCTCGGTTAACGGTGCCTTAACCTGTGAAAACGCTGCATTTTTGACGTCATTTCCTCGTTAAACACAAAATTCTTCCAAATTTGGTCATCAGTAACTGGTTATGGTGAATTAAATGAGTGCTTTTAGCCAATGAGAATCGGGAAAATATTTGAATGAATAATGATATATGTTATTGGTACTTACTGTGACTGAACCAAGACTTGTCAGTATATCCACCAAATATGTAACTACCAACTTGGATGATGGTTACAGTGCGACCCTTTCCATCACAGTTGCTGTGAAATGTTGATGCCGCCCAACCATCTGTCTTACCGTGCCAACACCTCACAAACCTGCTGCGGCCTGTAGTCTGGAGCCCTGGGTCTAAATATGAATTCAACTTAGCCCGGTACTTGCTGCCATGGCTGTCAAGGATGCTGGATGAGCTGAGAGCATCTAAAGAAAGGTAGAAGTATTTTTAACTTTGTAGCAATCAAGCACTATGCATAAAGGGTTCTCAATCAAATTTCTATATCGTAGCATGTAGGTAGATAAAATCGGGGATACCATGGCAGCGCTGTGAACCGACCGTTTAAAAAAGCAATATCATATGTTCATAAAACTCTTTCTTGGGTATTTCAATTTTTTTTCTATTTTCAAATTTTACCTAGGGCCCAACTTCTTTTATTTGAATTCTTACGTTTCAGGTTTTAATAGTCCTTCCGCCTTTCTTAACCTTCGTTCCCGTTTTTGTTATCCCTTTTAAAAAAACAACGAGTCCCTTATAATATCATATCATACAGGAGCCTATGGTCATGGATCCTGTATAATGTAATTTCCCTGTTATTTATTCTTAATCCTTTGTGCGGAAGGTAGTAAAAAGAATTATTGCCGCTTCGATTAGATTTTCCTTTATTCTAAAATCTCTCACCTTCGTCCTGATATAATTTCTTTTTATGTCATTTTTGTTGTTGTTTGACGATTTTTAGTATATCGACTGTGTTTCTCGCATTTTAACAAAAACTCTGGGTAAATAAATGGTCCTTATATGGTTTGGTTTCTTGTTTTGGAGTTTATAACAATAGTTTATATTCAGTTTTAAAGTGTATTCAAGTTGAAATACCTTTCTTAACCTCAGTATAAGTTACAGCTTCCGCCTTTAACACCCCTGCACTTGTTGCGACACAGATGTAAATTCCTTTATCGTTTTTTGTTATGTCACTAATCACTAGCGAGCCATTAATCTGCTGGCTCCGCCCAACTGGCAGTTGCTAATTCATTTAGTATTAAAATACTCAAAAAATTATCATCTCTCAAATAAACAGTTTTCAGATATGGTCAGAAGCGACTAGAACAATATACAGGAGGATTTGAATTAAGAGAACGAGAGCGAGAAATAAGTAAGGGATCCAGTCCAAGTTTGAGGCCTACGTATTTGTAGTGGTTCGGTGGTCAGGGCAAATCATATCGAAAAATATACGTTCATCCTCGCGTCAAGTCATATGTTTGCATTTTGATGAGTTCGTTCAGATCTTCTGGCTGGGCAGCGAACAACGTGCATCAATTGATGACTTCTAGATAGCTGTTTGGTGGCTATTTAGCTCTAATTTTGCTCGTTGGACAGGTGGTTAAAAGTTGCCCATGATTGTTTAATCATTAAAGCCTCAAAGGAAAGTTGTAATTCTCAGTATTTTCTATCAAAACTGACTAAGAGTGATTTCCTTGCTCCTTGTTACGAGGTCAAGAAAGTTGAAGTTTGTCTTGGTCTCTCCGACGCTTTCAAGAGTGTTTATTCTCTTCTTCTGTTGTTTCAGCTCCAATTCTACTCTCAGAAAACCGGCGCAGTAAAACACAATCGACAGAACAGACAGAATTGAGGTAAAGGACGGCAATTTCTGTTTCTGAGCAGTCATTTTGACTGACTGACTGCGAGAGGATCGGGAAGGCGGGTTTGACTGACACAAAGCAGGGTTTGCTAGAAACTGTTTCAGCGGATATAGAGTGTTTTCACATGACGTCACGGCGGCCATATTGGTGTCCCAAAACAATGAAACGGCGGCCATGTTGGTGTCCCAAACCAGTCCTCTGGGAGGTGAACTCTTTTCTTATGCAAACGCTTTCTTTTGTTCCAATAAATTTGCATAGATGCTGGCCACGTGAGTGAAAACACTCTATACGATACCAGGATTAAAAGATTGGCTATCGTGCCAGCTTTTTTCTGCTATTTTTGAAACTTCCCTGCTGTGTTTTCAGATACAAATTAAATTTACAAGTAATGCGTGTCTCCGGGAAAAGGCCAATAGTAAGAGATCGGGTTAGAAGCCAAAAGAGGATAAAATGGAAGAACGAAAGAAATTAAATGAAAACAACATTAGCCAGGAATCAAACTTGGGGAAAAAAAGCAAACAGCCGCGACATCCTCGAAGTTTAAGATCAACAAAGTAAAACTATTTTCAGCTGGTTTCAAGTTCATAATATGATTAAAAACAGGCTAATGTGAGCTTCCGAAAATCTGTTTTTAAGGTCAGATCAGCTGCATCTGTTCTAAAATTATTTGTTTTCAGGAAGCTAAATCATTTTCATTAGAGAGACCTAGTTTCTTACAGTTTGGGAAGTGGGTCAAGGCTGTTGAGTGTAATTAAAGGGTGTCTTTTTACAAAAATTGGGGGGAGACACTTCCTTGCTTGGTTGTTTTTCCCCTTCGCGTATCGTTTCCACCTGATGGTTATTCCCTAATCCACCGTTAATAGCCTATCCTTCAAAATGGTATGTAATCAAATCTTACGCTTTTTTTTGTTGTTTTTCGTTTGTTTTTTGTTTTTGTTTGTTTTTTTTACTTTTACTTTTACTTTGCTATAGTTAACTCTGCAGTCAGCTGGTGCGGCGACATCGATTATTTTACCGACTCAGGAGCCCATCATCTTCATCATAGGCTCCTTACAGACTCTATCCTCCTTCCCACAACCACAATATCCGGTCTCCTAGTAGCCTGCAGTGCAGGTGTACTTCGGGCGGGCGAGAGCTGCTTGTTTATGTTCGTATTGTTGAAACCACCATCTTTGATTTTATGACGGAGGAAGATTAGGGAGAGTAAAAATAGTAACCCTTAGGGTAGGTGCTAGGGCGAAAGAAGGAAATGGGGGAGGGGGAGGGGAGAAAATGTAGATTATTCCTCGTCTTCAACAGCCAGTAGACCTTCAAGCAGCAGTGGTAGATCGCATAACCCTACTCGTCTTTCAGATCTCGATGCGAGT